AAAACCTCCACCTGTCAACCACGTGCGTTGCACGTACGTTGACGGACCCGTGAGTAGTAGACTCTTCTCTTGGTCAAGCGGACAAGCACCCACTTCACACAAACCACACACAAGCCTTCTCTCCAATTTGGCTCCCCTTTTTTTAATTCATTACTTAACGATCCCTAACTATATTTAGTAACCCTCTTGCATTATTAAATTAATAGTTAGTTTCTTCTAATCTCTCTCTCTCTCTCTCTTAAAGACTTCTCAAGATTTTTCTCTAAGTATCAGATTAACTTTTGTAGGGTTTTTCTTTTCCGGCAAAACAATTTATGTACCCTCCTCCTCCTCCCTCCTCCTCCTCCAAGTCCACCGCTCAAGACGGCGGCGACACCGACAACAATGGATACGACCCAGCCGCTGGAATCACCCGTGATTTCTCCTCTCTCGGCTCTCAAACCCACTATAATCCTCCACGGCCCCCACCTACGCAGCAACAGCACAATCCTAACGTTGTTGGTCTTGGTGATTACTTCTCCGGTGATCCATCTACCATCGGATTCGACCCCGGAGCTGCTTCTTCGTCACCGTTGTTCAGACATAGAAGCTCTCCGGCAGGATTCTATGACCAACATCTTCCTACTGATCCCAACGGTAACCTTTTGTATTAATCTTACATTTACAACTCACATAGACAGAACACTGCACGAATTATAATGAGTACTTTTTCGTTAATATAAATGTTTCACATTTCTATATTTTTTTTTAAAATATACAAGACTAATGTTGTTTAACCGTACCAATTAGAATTAATATAAAATCTTTAAAAACTTAAATCTAGTATTGCAACAATATTTTTCAAAATATGTGAATAATCATATATAAATTAAGTATAAACATACAATTTTTTTTTTTAAAAGGAGTATGTTATTTTAAAATGACAAACGAGTCGGTATATAAATTAATCTTACACGTAATTTTCACTTTCTCGAATCCAAACCTTTGAATTTGTTTCGACGACTTTAATTTGTCAACTAGTTTCCCTCCACATATAAAAGGATACGACTTTTGTTTTCTAATTAATTACCAAATATAATATCGACCACTTAAATGAAAATCGAAACCACATTTAGCTATCAAAATATATAGCTATACACTAAATGTTTATAAGTTGATATGGTTATCTATCTATCAACAGATTTTGTTCACACATTTCTCTTTCATTTTCTCTATGGAGAAACCATGGGCCATATTGTTTCTATATAAATATTATACAGAACTGGCCTTGGCTAAAGCTTATAAAACATTAGTTTCAAGTGCTAAATTTGTATTAAGAACATCATAATCTTATAGTATAATGGATTGGCAGCAAATTTTTATTTTCATGCTTTAAACGTCCAACCACATAGGACCGATCGAGAGCATGAATATATATACAAAATACATATATACAACTTATAAATACAATTTGATCAAAATAAATACACTATACATGCACGAATTATTAAACACGTATTTCCAGGAGGTGCAAGTTGGATATTTTGAAAATGCATCTTAATGCAAATAGCATGTATTATAAAACATGCACTTGCCAAAAGTATATGTTAAAAAAAAACGAATCGTTTCAAAAATAAATAAAGTATCGTCCACTTGGCAATATTATACCCATCCCACTTGCTCTTTTTCTTCTGACAAAGCAGCCATGAGGCCAACCTTGCTGACATGGCTTCATCATAGACACTGTTTCCATTTTTGGAAAAGCCTACTTGTCATTATAAATAATTGATTTATTACTGTTTTGTTGGTTGCAAAGTAATTTATACTACTTTTGTGCAATTTGATCTTCTGTTCATTGCATCCGTCCGGTTTATTTTTCCACTGTAATCCATGTGCGAGTCCCAAGAAAATTACCCCTCTTGCATTATTATATACGCATATACAAGACATATAACTTTGTTTATAATAATATTTGGAATTCAAATAGTGAAAACTAATTTCTAAGATTCTTTTCATGATTAATTGTTATTCTCTTTAAAATACTGGAGATAAATAAAGAAAATCTAGTAGAGACAAAGGAAGGGTTCCTCGAGTCTCGAACAAAACCCATTCTCTTCTTTTTGTGTGTGTATATATATATATATGCAGTTTTAAAATCGTACTGGCTATTAAATACTAAGATCATTACAAGTTATAACCCTACGTTACATTACATTACATCTCTTTGTTTCTCTTTGGATCTAAACTTGTTGATGGATGAGCGACCAGGTTTTTCTCTAGGGCGGCCAAACGGAGGATACGGCGGAGGAGGAGAGCGAGGACCCTCAAGGTTGAAGCCGGAGCTGAGATTTTCCGGTGGGAGTAGTAGTAGTAGTCATCAAGAACGTAACTCTCTACAGCGAATCTCGGAGGCTGAAGCCGCTGCGGCGGCCATAAAAGGTGTCGCATCGACGAGTATGACTTTTGGAAATGATCACAACAATTGGGACAACTCTTCTTCTCATATCAGTTTCACCATTGATGAACCGGGGAAACGGTCCAAGACCACCGACTTTTTCACCTTGGAAACACAGGTATCTTTATACTTTTGGTTATTACTTATTAGTTATATGTGTATGAGTTGTATCAATGTTGAGTAGAATAACTTTCTTTGCAATAAAGTTCCATAGTTTTTCGAATCTCTAAGATAAAGGGGGAGAAAATGCATATGCGAAAAGTTGAGTGTTTATGATCGATCTATGTATGACTTACAAGTTGTATGTTAATAAATGATATTACAGTGTGTAGAGTCGTTGTGTGTAATACATATAATCTGAAATTTGTAAATTAGATTTAAATCCATAAGGCCAATTAGCAATAAGATCTCAGTTTGACATAAATCCCAGTAGAAATGTTATAAATCACAAGTTCATGGATGTTGAATGGTTTTGTGTGACACACATAAATAGTTTAGAGAAGTTTAATTAAGACTGGTTTATGTATATTTCTTCTATATATAACACACACAAATAGTTTAGAGAAGGTGTACGATTGATTTATGTATATATATTTTCACAAGCGAGTTTTTATGTAAATTTTTCAAAATGATGTTTTGTTTGGGTTTGAAGTAATTATCTTATTTTTCGGCATGTCATTGTTATGATTATTTAGTATAGTATGCCGCAAACGTCTCTGGAAATGGCGAGAATGGAGAATATGATGAACATACCAGAGGATTCGGTGCCTTGTAGGGCTAGGGCCAAGCGTGGCTGTGCGACTCACCCACGGAGCATCGCTGAAAGGGTTAGTTGTATTATAATTTTTTGATTTTGTTATTACTACAAAGTAAACATATAATCATACAGTAGAATGTGTGTGCATAGCCAAAGAAACACAACAGTATAATCAAGTTTTATGTATAGGAGAGAAGAACGAGAATAAGCGGGAAGCTAAAGAAGCTACAAGAGCTGGTGCCCAATATGGACAAAGTGAGGGATATGGATTAAAATATTTATGTAACTTAAATGTTGGTAAGAAGATTATATATAACTAATATAAATATTGATATTCTTTTTATTTTTGCAGCAAACGAGCTATGCAGACATGTTGGATCTGGCTGTTGATCATATCAAAGGTCTTCAACACCAAGTAGAGGTGCGTTCTTATGTAAATTTGGTATATTTAATAGTTTTAATTACACATAGACTACTTTTTTTTGAACCACAACATATAGACTCCTCTAAGTTAAGAATCATGCATAACGTTCTACGTACACAAACAGATGGTTATGTATCGTATCAACGCATAGTCTATGCATGTTTGAGCATAACCTTAGATTCTGAGGTCCCATGTATATATATTGACATGTTATGCTCTTATTGACGTAGTATATAAAGAAAAACTGGAGTTGAACTTGTGGTCATAAAAGCCATCAAAACATAGATAGAGCTTGTGCAATATCACAAACATGTAAATATTTGCTGAGTTAAAGTTTAATGTTTGATTATTTGTCATGTATAGTCGCTGGAAAAGGAGATGGAGAGATGCACTTGTGGGGCATGCAAGAAGCGATGATGAAATGTTGTGATGTGTTCCCAAACATGATGCAAGAAAGTGTAGAAAGAGAAGAAAAGAAAGAGACTTAAGGAATCAATTCAACAACAACAAGAAAATGATTTTAATTATATATACTTGTGATTTTGGAGGTCCAAAGAAAGTGATGGTGGTCTATTAATGAAGTTTGGTTTTGACACATTCTTGAAGTCTTCACCATAGTGACAACTTATAACAACTTGAACTAATTCAAACAAATTTAACCAATAAAAATAAAATACTATTTGAGGTTTTTCATGTGTGTGGTATAGTATTCAATTCTACGTTTTCCATGTGGATTCATTTTGATGTTAATTACCTCAAACATAGTAGCTAACTCACTATATATAGAATCATAACTGGTTATTATGACTTCTTTAGTTTATGATCTCTCTCAAATCTCAATAATCTATATTAACCAATCAGGAATACAATTGTCTAACACACATCATTGCAAATATATAGAAAGAGAAATTAAGCAAACTTTGCTAACACACTACAACAAACTCGGCTTGGCTTGTCAACCCTTCAAACTAGAAGGAAAAGTTGAAGAAAACCTTGTATGCGTAAACAGAATCTCACAAGTAAAAATCCCTAAAGACTCTCTCATATATCATTAATAGTCTTTGATCAAACGCCATGTATCACTCTCGAATATCAATACAATCCAAAAACACACGAGCATATGTATAGGCCCAAAACCATTGCGGTAACTTCTACTTATTACAAGCTTCACATTAGCCTCAAACCAGCTCACATCTCCTCGTATGATGGAAATCTACTTCATGCGCAAAGTGAGACTTTACATTTAAAATTGCGCCTCATTAACACAGCCTACAATAAAAGGCAAATTAAAACACTTCTAAATTAAATCTCTCTCCTCTCTCTTTCTCTCTCTAAGCGTTATTACAGAACAGAGAGAGAAGTAAAAGAGAAAACGAGTGGAAGACATGTCGGACGACGAGAGATGTGAAGAGTACCTCTTCAAGATCGTCATCATCGGAGACTCCGCCGTCGGCAAATCAAATCTCCTCACCCGCTACGCTCGCAACGAGTTCAACCCCAACTCTAAAGCCACCATCGGCGTCGAGTTCCAGACTCAGAGCATGCTCATCGACGGCAAGGAAGTCAAAGCTCAGATTTGGGATACCGCCGGCCAAGAACGCTTCCGCGCCGTCACTTCCGCTTATTACCGCGGCGCCGTCGGAGCACTTGTCGTCTACGACATCACTCGCACTTCAACGTTTGAAAACGTCGGTCGCTGGCTCGATGAGCTCAACAGTATGTTCCATCTACTCTGTTTTTCGATTCAAAGTTTCGAGCTTTAGATCCCTCCTCTGTTTTTTCGATTCAAAGTTTCAGTCTTTAGTTCACTCCTCTGTTTTTCGATTCAGAGTTTCAAAATCTTTAGATCCCTTCTCTGTTTTCCGATTCAAAGTCTCAATCTTTAGTTCCCTCCTCTGTTTTTCGATTCAAAGTCTCAATCTTTAGTTCACTCCTCTGTTTTTCGATTCAAAGTTTCGATCTTTAGATCCCTCCTCTGTTTTTTCGATTCAAAGTTTCAATCTTTAGTTCACTCCTCTGTTTTTCGATTCAGAGTTTCGAAATCTTTAGATCCCTTCTCTGTTTTTCGATTCAAAGTCTCAATCTTTAGTTCACTCCTCTGTTTTTCGATTCAAAGTCTCAATCTTTAGATCCCTCCTCTGTTTTTCGATTCAAAGTTTCAATCTTTGCGTTAGATCTGCAAATGGAATGTTGGTTTTGATTGGAAGTTTCTATTTTTAGATGATGATGATGATAGTGAGAATCTTTAGATCTGAAGATGAATGATTGACTTTGATTCAAGTTTGAAGTCAAAAGTGGTCTTGCTTTGTTTTTTTTTTGTTGCAGCTCACTCTGATACAACAGTAGCGAAGATGCTAATTGGGAACAAATGTGATCTCGAGAGCATAAGAGCTGTGAGCATTGAGGAAGGCAAGAGCCTTGCGGAGTCTCAAGGTTTGTTTTTCATGGAGACATCAGCTCTTGACTCGACCAATGTGAACACTGCTTTTGAGATGGTTATTCGAGACATCTATAGTAACATCAGTCGGAAGCAGCTCAACTCTGATTCTTACAAGGAGGAACTAACCGGAAACCGGGTTAGTTTGGTCAAGAACGAGAGTGAAGGGACAAAGACATTTTCTTGCTGTTCGAGGTAATATCTCACTGTGAACGGTTTTCTCTTGTCCTGTTGGGGGCTTGGTGGTGTGTTCGTTGGGGTATAACTTATAGTAAAGACAGAGACATTCTTTTTGGTTCTCAATTGAAAGCTAAAGGTTAAGAGAGAAAGGT